ACAGCAATATAATAAACAAACCTTCATCAGCAGAGGCGATTGTTTCGTATGAGTGTGTTTATAAGTACTTGTGTCACACGGGTGTTATAAAGTTGTAAGTAACACCGGTATGACACATGTATACACGAGACAATCGTCTGTGTTCACCTGGTTAAGTAAATGCAAAGAGGCAGAACATTCACCTTAATTGTGGAGAGTAAACTTTACCAGTCGTTTCCTCTAATTCTTTTACGTGACGTGCTATATCTAAAAAGAATCGCCAACAGCATATTCCCTCCCCAAATTAAACAAACTAAAAAGGGGAAATGAAGCTTTATATATACACGAATATTACAGGTTTGTAAAAAAAAATGTGAATAGAACAGATTGTTTATGTACATTACTATATACATGTACGATGTAAAGTAAGCATGTATTCAGATTTATTAGCTATTGGATAAACGGGGGTGGGTTCAGTGTTTAAAAGGCAGGACCTATTCTAATGGTGGGGCTAAGATCAACATCCATTAGAATGCTACTCCACCGACCCAACCCTTAAACCCCAAATTATATAAAGTATACACTATCATTGTCTTATTCCAGTGGGGTTCAATAAACATGTGTGTGTTTTGTGTGTGTATACAATCAACAATGCACCTTCTAAACAATCTACATACTCAAAACGAGAGAAAAGGTATGTCTAAATAGCACGTGTATGACTGGCATTGACGGCTAGTTAATATGATAGTTATTTATTTAGAATCCTTCTGATATGTGAATGTTGTCAGAAAGTGTTTTTTGCAGACTGTAAATTATTTGATCATGGAGAAATTCTTCGGGTAGCATTTGCGCTGATTGAGAATAGTATGTCATCATTTAGAAGGAGACACAAACAAATATTGCCGCTTTTCCTATGCCCATTTTTATTTTTTGTAATATTACCTAAACTTGCCTAGTGAAATTACATGAAAAAACAGTTTGAGAATACACATGTTCTGTAAACGATAGAATAGCCGTGAATTTGGTCAAATTCATGTAAAAAAATCATGTCAAGATTTTAAGCATAATAATTCAGGTGAAATTTATGATTTTTTAGAGGAAAATATTCAAATTGTAATTTTAGTTTTTTCGTATGAAGTTAACTAAAAATTGAATCATGAATATTGAGTCAATGTATTATTTTGAGATGAAAGGTTTTCCTTTTCAATGCAATTGTAATTAGTTAAAATGGCCTAGTCATGTACCATTCCGATAAAAGAGACATTCCATTTCTTTGATCTATTGCTGTAGGGTGAAGTTGATCATAAAAACAGCGCAGGGAAGAGCACAGGTAAAGGTTGATGCACAGCAATCAGCTAAGCTGCAAACCGGTAAGCATATTAAGAGATTGGTTGTATTTTGTAAATTTGCTTTTATGCATTAAACTGCTTTCTAATCGCATTAATCTTTATTGGTATGAATGCCATGTAGACAAAAGACAAGTTTCATGAATTCACTCTTTGCCCAGTTGTCAATCATATTGACTATGAATGACAACATCAGAAAGCAGTTAAATGCTTACTGATGGGGAAAAGGGGATACATTTACCATTTACCATCTGATTTACATATTTGTTTTGTTTTACGTTTGGTAGTTCATAGTCTAGTGACTGCAAACTCTTTGTGGTAGGTTTGTTAAGTGATGCTAGCCAAAATAAATGAGAACATAGTTTATGTCTGATTCAGTCAAACACTACAAAATGTTCATGTGCTCATATAATTATATATTTACATTACTACAGTTTGATGCAGGGTTTTAGTTCAGTTAATGGAATTTAACACAATTATTCCTGAAATGTATGTCCACAGTTTCTTTTACAATATCTTGCCAAGTTAAAAGTTGTTGGAACAAGTTTTTAATGTTGTCTCTTAGCTTATTTAGGTGTATTTTGATTCTTTTGGCCCAAGGTTACCACTCACAACCACACGAGGTCTTCTTCTAATCGAAACCCCCATCTTAGGTGTAAATATTTACAATTTGTCAGGGCACATTGCTTGTCACACTGACAATCTTTCAGTTATTGTCGAATTACGCTCATACATCAACTCATAACCTTGATATTGAGAGACTTAATATATATAGTTCCACTATAATGGACGTACCATTCAGTGGAAGGAGGTATTGGGGGCATCCATGGTGTTCAGATTTAATTGTTCAAGCTTGTCATACAAACATTTACATATCTGCTTTTGCTTTTAAATCCAGTAGCTCTGAACAATTACGTAAAGTGGATAACAGTATGTAAATAACTGATCACCATGTGAAGAGTTTCTAGAAGTAAATACTTGTGTACATCCACTGTTGTTGGTTGTTGTTTTTTTTTATCTTGCCAGGTGTTTTGCACGATAATAGGTTTTCCTGTAAACATTTGCAATACTATTATAATATAGTCTGCAGTCAAATCGAATTTTGAGAAAGAATTGTTTTAACAACTTTAACGGAAAAGGTACTGTGTAATGAAAAAAGTGAAACATTAAAATGAAGGTACCAGTTATGATTATGAATGCTTCAAAGCAGTCCAGAATTAGTGAGAAACATCGAGGATGCCTCAATATCATATGCACTGTTCTGCCATAATAATATGTTTAGTAAAGATGTCGTAATGAGCTGTTATATTGTCAACAGCCATAAGCTAGTTTATTTGAATTTACTGTCGACAGCATCGAACAAAATAAACTGCTGATGTACCCATGAACTTGCATATGAAGAGGTAGAGTTGCATAATCTGGAAGACTCATCATAGCCAGAGGGTGAACAGTCTAGTTATATAGGCTCTAAATACGTGTGGAGTCGAGCTGCTATAACAATCCTACTGGATGAGGTTTCCGGCAGAGAATCGCCGGTGAAATCCGAAATCCACCCAACAACGAATGTATAGGGATATCGCAGATGTCATGAAATACAGAACTCGATTTGCATCTTAATTTATAATCGACCAATTGGAAAGTACTTTGATCGAACCACATGATGAAGCTATAATATATGTATGTCCATTTGATATTTGTGTTATTTCATAAATTGCCTTAATCCTAATTTGTACCATATTTAACATTGTTTGGGGGACTTATTGGTTTTACTCTGTTTCTTATTAAGTCCCCCAAACGAATAGGGGGACTTATTGGTTTTACTTCGTTTCTTTTTGTTGTTGTTATACTTCTTCTTCCGCCGTAAAAGTTTCCGACACATTTTTCGAAAACTAAAGGACGGAAATAATTGAAACTTTGCACAAATATTCATCATGGTAATGGGATGTGCAAATGACCTATAATTTTCCGGTCAGTCAACAAAAATGGCCGCCACGGGGGTCTTATTGGTCGATTTTATATTTTGGTTCATTTTGCCCAAATTTCATATAAAGGTGTATTTTGGCACTGCAAACTTTACTGCGGAGGTTTGGAGGACTTCTGTTATGATCCCCATCACAATTAGTACTTGTTTATATTTACAATAATTGTCAAAATACTAGCTCCTGAGAGCTTATGTTTAAAGCTTCTTGACCTTGTTTCTACTATATATGTTGGCTTATTATCCTTCCAATCTTCATTCCATTTTTTATGCCCCATAAATTAAGACTTTTACAAGATCTACAAGTATGTTATGTTTTGAGACATTGTATAACCATATTCATATATGGACTGTACATATCCACGCAATCCCCTATAGTTGAAGGGGGATTATATTCACTTGTAGTGTACGAATTCATTCCCTTTTTTGATTTTTTTTTTCATTTTAAGATATGTAATGTAACATTGCCTATGTGGGATAACGTATACTTAAGTAACCAGTAAAAAGAGAATATATAATACATAAGTATATGCACACAAAATAGGGTATCTGTATAATTATATGAATTTGAATTATGGAAAGAAAACTTATGTCGCGATACTACTATTAGTATGTGGGATCAAACACATGCAATTTCATGCTTTATTCATTTTGTTATAGAAAAGGGATTTATTTCGCTTGTTTAATTTATGATAACAATAATTCAGAATATCATTATGCAATTTGATGTCTTTCTTATATAAAAATCACTGGTCTAATGTGTTATGAATTATTATTGTAATAAATGTAACTTATATACACTTTTCGTCATCGTAAATTTGAAATTGTGAGAATACAAATGTCCCCATTTATGGTTTTGCGTTTATGTTTATGGTAATCCCTGGATTGTTTTTAAAGTCTGTTACATATTTGGAACCTCCTCCTTTGAAAATATATCGGTTAGAGGCTTTGAGGTGTTGAAATTCACTTCGACACTCTTTCCTGTATATATACTAGAATTATATTATTTTGCATGGATATTTGTCAGGGGTCAGCCATATTGTTGTGAAACAAAAACGAAACATGACCTTCAAGCCTATTTAACTGAGCTGTGCAAATATTAAAACATATATATCGGATTGATAATTGCGAAAATGTTAACTTTAACTTGAATTTGAAAAAGGAAATTTCTCATTCCAAATTTACATTTGGAATGAAAAGATAATGATTTGATGAATCTTAAAACTTACTTCACGTAAGTTTGTAAGAACGAGATATCTTATCTGATTTTTACGGATACAAGTGGCTCCATCACATTTCTCATATTTCCTCTGGAGAAAATTGGCAGTCAATCAGGTCCAACCTCCAAGATTGTGAACAAATATTCCATGTACAATGTAGTTAGCAACGATGAAACATAATTATGACTTCAAGATCTAGCTCTAAGTCATTTGATATGACAAAATATTCGAAAAATGTAACCTTTAAGAAGTCGACAAGATAGTGTAGAATTAAAAATGAACAACTCGTCCAGATATTTCTTTAAAAACAGAGCCGAATATCTTATCCTATAACAATCTGATGTCCAAGGTTCGTCCGCTGATTAATATGTTTGGTCGATTACATATGATTAAAGCCACGCTTTCTTATTTAAAATAAAAAGGAAAACAACAATTGGGAAATGGACTGTGGGAAGAAACACATGTGAAAGGAGATCTGTGCACAACAGATAAGAAATCTTGTATCTTGTTCGGGATAGTTCCAAACATGGACGTCAACACATTGATTTTCGTGGTGACATGTTTAAGCGCAACCTCGGCATTTATTCTAGAAAACCGCCCTGTCTACCCGACGATCCCATCGACCCCACCTACATGTTCGAAGAATGGAACGATCTACAATCAGGGAGAGGGAATCCCGTCCGACTGCTTTTCAACGTGCAGCTGCCAAAATGGACGGATTTCGTGTATTTATCAAGATTGTCCTCCTCCAAACTTAAGCATAGTGTGTGTTGATTCTGCCAGGCCCCATTGTGGCTGTCCCTATTGTCCCAATGGTAAAGTTGTTTTGCTTGTGTTAAAACAGTTAATATTCTTGAATACGTATATCTGTGAGTGCACATTAACAATATTCTTTTATGTTTATATGTTTATTTTACAATTTTTAATGTTTTTCCGATATTTGATCGGACGTGCTCGTTTTACAACTCATGGTCAACTACCATACCAATGAATATTTTAGATTATAAATGATAGTATATTTAGTATTTTTGACGTACAATATCAGTAGGACAGCAGATGTGTTTGCCTCAGATAAAGAGAAATTAAACACTTTGCAAAACAATAAGGTCTTTATTTTCACAGGGAATATATTTTCGGGAATGACTTTTTGCGAATTCACGCTGTTCCTAATGGCATATTCAATATTTACCCTAACAGGACCAAACTGCGGATATGGTAATTTGACTATTCCGTATGGTCAGGAACTAAGAGTAGATGAACGGACAATATGCAGCTGCTTGAGGGGAGAAATATCTGCAATATGCAGGCCTTCTGGCTGTATGTATCAGGGGAAAGTGTATTCGGAAGGGATTTTCTACCCATCCCCATGTGAGAGGTGCCAATGTGACTCACAATACAATATGGTGAACTGCTCCCTCAATAAATGCATCATCAAACCACTCCTGTGTGTAGATGCCATAGTAGAACCTGGCACCTGCTGTCATGTGTGTCCGAACGGTAAGTCCTTGTGATTTCTATTTCCACTACACAATTTGGTAGATATGAATTCCTCCTTTATTCTTGTCCGTATATGACAGAAATATCAACTGTCAGAAATTTCAAATTGGTGCGAAACTTCTGGAAAGCCTCGGGTTTTACCTAATTTGAAAGCCACTTGATTATATTGTCCTTATCATGCACACCTTTACCTATTCTACATCCATAAGCATTAACAAGTTTTGTAGTCTGCCCTGTAAAGGAGGTTGTTACATTTGCAAAATCATTTGCATCATCCATGTTTTTTTAGATATATAGTACGGTTAATCTATAAACTTCTTATTCGGGACTATTATTCGGAATTAAAAGTTAACATTAACAAAAATCATTGTCGTCATCATGAACTGATTTCTAATTGCTTCATTTTAATATTTGGCATGAATAAATATGTTTCCCCTGCCATATATCGGCTACTTTGTCATTCGATTCTTCGCAGTTCCCTAGTTCTACATTCATACTTTAGAAGAAGTTAATGTATCTTTTGTGGCAACTTTTAGACATCGTCTTATGACTTGCTAATTACGTATGCTGGCATAATTTCTACAACATGTCGACATCATCAATAAAGACGTTGACATATTCTCATTTTCTGTCGACTTAATCTTTAAATTATGTCAATTTAAAAAGAAGTCTGAAAATCTTCAACATTAGAATAAAAACTACATTTATCTTCATTATTCATAAGTGCCCCTGTAGTTATAATTCTATTAATTATGTGTTGTAAAGCGCCTTAGAGTAATTTTACAAATAGCAAAAAGCACTATATAAATATTGTATATTATGTTAGTACACTGTATCTTATCATTATTTATTAATATATTTAAATGAGACAATTCCTTCTATGAACAGGGCCGAATTGTTTTGCGGGGAACAAGAAAATTACAGCAGGCCAGGACTATAACGATGGTAGTCAGATCTGCCGATGCCCTGAGCCGAACCCGAACCTAATATTTGGACGTATTAGGCCCCAGGCAGTTTGTAAACTCGTTGGTCCCATGGCCCCACCGTCCACTACAAACCCGTAGCAGTGAACGCTATGAGGCAGCGGTTCCCATGAAGTTTGCAAACTCGTCGGTCCAAAGGTCCAACCGTTTACTACAAACCCCTAACTGAGAATGCAATAAATTCTTTTAAATTTCTGACATTTGAAAAAGTTGTTTGTCTTCGTGGTTTCGGTATACAATATAAACAAGGGTAGATGCGGTCGCTGTTTTGACATGGAATCACAAGTGTCGAAAGACAATTTAATGACTCGTACCATGTCCAGGCCTCGAACCTACAACCTACGGCACCTAATCGCCTAGCCTAGAAATATCCCCAGGTCCCACCAATACACCACTTCACATTCTTTAAAAAGAAGGTTTCGTTGTTGCAGTAAATCATAGTGACAAATAGTTTATTGATGATATGAGGACCTGTATCGCAACATATAGATATAAACACGGATAAGAATTGTACAAACCATTTTTTTTGTCACCCTTCTTATTTGTAACACGTAACACTCTTTGGATATCTTGCCGGGGTCTATATTTCTATAGACCCCGCTCTGTCGGGGTTTTTAAAAGCACGTGGGAGGGGAGATAACTCAAAGTATTTGCCAATCATTCATAGGATGCAATAGCCTACAAACAATCTTAAACGACAGGAAATTCAACGAAACAAGCAATGGGGGAGGGGTCTATGTATGATGGTTTCGTATTGTTAAATTTAACCTTATAGTAGCCCTCCTTGATGATGGCGAATCGACATTTAAAGCAAATATTGATACGACAACATGTAACAAATAGTCATTATACGTGAAAGGCGAAATTACCGCCCGGCGTACGTTCTTCGCTACATGATAGAGTAACAAGACACCGGCACAAGGCTTGTTCGGTTTTCGATCACCCGGTACCCAATTGACCAACCGACTGGGCGAACATTTTTTACGTAACAAATCAAGCAGGACCATCCAGTTTAATTGTTTTCCATTGGGCCTTATTTCACAATGTTTTTCTGTTAAATTTTAAGTGTGTATGTATAAACTCAGCGATATCCATCCCTCAATAATAGTTATCATCAATTTCCTAGATTGAAACTTAAAACTCATGAAAAAACAACAAGACATGACAAATGGGCCGCTATAACACAATATCGTAGTTTTTCTAAAGGAAAGATAGATTTTAGATCCCCATAGTTTTTGAAACAGGAAATACGAATAGAAAAAGAAAATTGTCCGCAGAAAAAGAAAAATCATCAAGGCAAACAAGAGTATGAATAGATGACGGAGAGGTTTTTATTAATATACGTTGAACAATACGTAAATAATTATATCCTAAACATACGTTTACGCAAATGAATAAATGCAATAGCCAATGAAATGTCTTGTAAATATATCTGATCACAGTTATGACGGTGACAAAAAAAGTTCATATTCGAAATATGATATCACAAGATCAAAATAAACCGTATGGAACTTGTCGTTTTTCGTAAACGATTTTAAAAGGTGATAAAATCTATATGATAGAATTTTGATATGAGAACATTATTAGTCCTTTATTACACATGTTGAAGGGAAACATGATTTTGTGGTTCCACAAGATTCATCGTGCGCCGCCCTGGTGAAACATGATTATTACCAGGGAACAAACGAGCATGCTTCCCTATGACACGGGAAATAGACATTTTATTGCTAGAAAATAGAATAATACATTGGGACATGCTGGAATGAATTATTACAACATCTAGATAAGTCAATGCTATACACTGTAGAGAGGATATTGCTATAGTCCGCTTCAGTCACTTGGAACTCTTGTATGGTACAGATATTGGGGCTCTCGTGCTGGTAAGGGGAAATGTATCACAACGGACCTAAGATAATATAAACATGACATTCCTAACCACTAGATCACAATACTGACTTTAGACATTTAAAGGAAATGTTGAATTAAAGATCGAACTATAAAACATTTGTACTACGTAGCGTAAGCAGTATGAAAAGGGCAAACCACGAACGATACAATGCTGATGTAAAATGTCTAAGATCCCTTTCGATCTATACAGGACTTTTGAACGGGTAGTCAGGTACGTCGGCCATTCTGAAAGACAAAACACATTTTTTTAATGTTGAACATATGTTTAAGGTATAATAAATAATGATTTTTGCCATGTTTTCTTATTTAGTTAATCCTCGACTTTTTTAAAGTAACGGAAAATCTATACATCTATATCACCAGAATATAAAATACCCATTGTTGTGTGCCTCATTATGAAATATACTTACATGCTCGGGCGGAATATTCTTATCCCTTTATCAATCCCTCCGATCGTGTCCATGTCTTCTGCAGAAAGCTCGACATCGAAAACCTGAAATAAATATACATATATATATATATATCTAAATGATGAGCCTCTTAAGAGATGGTTGTTCTAGGGAGGTACATGTACTTAGACACTCTTGTCAATTTTCCCCCAAATAAATGGACATGTATGAATTTAATGCAATATCTTACATATATATTCCATAGTTCATGTCCTGTCTTAGGTACGTATTAAGTATTCATATGTTTCAAGCCATGGCTTACGTAAATATTCCATATTTCATGGGCCTGTCTACATAAGCAATATTTCTTTCCATATTTTACATATTCAATGCTAATTGTAATTTACATTTTACATATTCATTGCCCGGTCTTGCATATCCGATATCCTTCTTATAAACATGTACCATATTTCACACAATCCATACATATTCGATATTTCATACCACGTCATACAAACATATACTTTGATTCATGCCCTGTCTAAAATATTTTAAGCCCTTTCCTAAATAATTCCCATATTTAATACTCTGTCGTATATCAACAATATATATTTCCGTGTCTTACATACATTTGTATTACATGATATGTCTAACACACAAATTACATATTCCATGCATCGTGTTACATAGCTTATCCCCTTTCACGAAATGCCTTGCGAAAATATCAATATTTCATGCCCTTTCTAACATGTATTATGCCCTGTTCTAAATAATTTCCATATTTTATTCTCTGTCTTACATATCACTTACCCTGTCTTCAATTCCATATGTCATGTCTTGTCTTAGATTGATATTCAGGATATGTAGAGCAGCTACTGCTTTTCATAGCCTTAATGTACAGGAAAAAATTACCTCGTTCAAATCATATGTTTACGTTACGATGAACTAAAATAAAAAAAGTTGCAACACGTTTTGTTAATTTAATATTTTTAATATCAGTATCGGACAGAAAACCAGGAACAGCCAGAACTCCAGCCTACACACAAATTTCAAACGTTCGACTTACGCCGATCAGCTGATTTGTTAAAACGAAAAAAAACTACTATAATCTCATAATAAACAAAACTTGATATTCCTTTCATTTTTCAAAGTTGATCGTATTTCATGGGTTTTTTTTCGCATTTAACACCGCTAATTATATATTTAGTAAATGTTTATGTCCGCACTATTTCAAACAACGGTCAACATAGTAACCATCCAGGGCATTCGTCGGCCGAGCACCCATCGGCGGTGGGCAAAGCTCATTTAAAGTTGAATGTACAGCCGTGGAATGTGCTGTTTGCCAGAAATCCTGCTGATGTAAATGAAGATCGGTTGGTGGATGAAGTGCCCTGTGTCATTACAAAGTTCTCTGATGTGCAAGTTGATGTCACGGGGACTACCCAGCCGGACGTTTAGGTGATCAAAGGTTCGTGACCACTATCGCGAAGAACCGATGGCGAGTGGCCATTACACATTTGTGCGATGTCCCGCGATATTGTGAGGCACTTGTGATACCCGTAAGTGTTCTGGATACCGTCTGAGTGCAAAGGTGGACGTCCAGCGATCGACAGCTGATCAACACGTAAATTGCCATTGGCGATGGCTGACAATGCTGTGGATAACGTTTCCCTCTGTGTTGTGGAGCAAGAACGGTTATATGACCGAACGGCGGACTAGCTTTGTGTCCAAACAGAATCATAATGTGACGGGCCTCAAGTCCGAAGTCGTTCATTGCTTGAATAGCTGTGGCCCGGAGGCAATGTCGGTATATTTTACTCGTAAACACCTAACAGCAATAGAGATGATTCGCCTCTCTGGTCTATTCTGTATATATATATGTCTTAACTTCACCTTTTATGGTCTTCATTATATGATAACAAGCTATGAGTTGTCAATGTTTACTCTTAAAAGATATAGAAGGTATTAGATTCGTGTCCATGTCATGTTGATTTTATTAAAATCGTTCAATAATTTGATATAAGTCTTTAATACGAATGTAATATTTAATTTATCACATAACATTTATAAGTTGAAATTAAACTTTACACACAATTATGTTATAACAGCTGACTCTATACAGGGCGAGACCAAAGAACTCTGATCGTAGTATTGTCGTTCCGCGCAGTGCAAAGTAGTTAATGTTTTTTGTTGATAATGAAAATTTTTAAATGTAAAGAAAATAATTATGACAAAGTAACATTCCAAATTGATATTCAGTTAATGTTTCATGTGGTATACTAAAAGAAGAAGTACTAGTAATTGCGTACGAATATGTTCCCACGGTTTTGACCAATCGCAGCACCGTTAGGCTTTATTACACGTGTGTATAACCATATTAATTACATGTCCGTATTTTGGTAAATTGGGTCACTTATGTGATTAATATATTTATTTGTCCTAAATAAATGGTGCATGTATGATTCTATCTATTTGATGTAAGACAAGATACCGGGTTATACGTGTAGTGTCGGAAACATTCCCTAAGAACATGATTTGCCGCCTTGTCTAAACATTCTGTTAATTTTTGTTGCTGTATTTTGTTCCTATTTTGAATTACATTGTAAGTATTAAAGTTGAATGTTGACACTTCAGCGCATTTTGTTTTATATATTTGAGAAGGTTTACATGTAGCGCATAAGAATTGTGGAGTAAACATTTCATAGGCAGGAAAGTCAATTGTGAAAAATACAATTGATGATCATGAAACAAAACTCTTATTAACGTTTTATTATTTTAGAAGAGATGTGATCGTTATTGTCACCATGTTTATAAATCTCCTTTGGGTCATGCGTTTGAGTAAATGCCCGATCCACGTAATAAGCATTAAAATAAATACTCCAATTTCTTTTTAAATTTACGTAAGTAATGCTGCATTGCCGGGGGAAACGCCATTATCAATATATTATCTTTCTTTAAGGCAGCCTCCAGCTTTGTTTTGGGAGAGTAGGCGCGACACTCCAACTGTAGGGACTAAATGAAAATAGAAACATAAAACAGAACTCCCGCAGTATATCTATTTTTGGCTGCCTCTGTATTCCAGTTAGGGCAAAGAAGAAAACGACATGTTGTGCAATTAAGTCCAAACACATGTACGGTGTCGTCTATTCCAAACATGCAGTAACAATTAGAGTAGATATCCGCCCTTCAAAAGTTCATTTTCTGTTTTTATATCGCGAAGAAACATTTATTTAATTTACAAAAGTGAGTTGACCACAGCGACGGTGTTATGTATAAAGAGCAATAAAAAAGAAATGGCAAAACGCAAAAATCAAAACAAAACAAAATAAAATAAAGCCAAATTACCCCTTTTAATTACTTTTTCGCGAACACTTATTTTAAAAAGAGTGCTTCAAAACATTTTTCGATGTATTAAAAAAGATAACTAACATAGCATGGTATCAATTGTTAGAGTTGTGTACAAACAAGTAACACTAATACATATTATTTACTTGTGTTGTTTAATGTAATCAAAAACATGCGTCATCCTATCCTACCTGACTTGCCACTGGTTTAACACATGAGAGCATTATCATACCTGATTTACTACTTGTTTAACAGGTGAGAGTATTATCATACCTGATTCACCATTGCTTTAACACGTGACATCATTATCTTACCTAATTCACCACTGGTTTAACACCTGATATCATTTTCCTACTAGGTTCCCCATTGGTTTAACACGTAAGAGTACATTATCCTACCTGATTCAACACTAGTTTACCACGTACCACCTTTATGATGCGTTCCCCTTGTGCAGAATTGAAGTTTGATATTCCAATGCTCTTTGCCTTCCCTTCGTCAACAAGTTTTTCCATTTCCTACCAAAATTGTCGAAACGTTAAATTCGGGTAACTATTTAAGATAACATACACACACAAATATTGTTGTTTCTGCATGTTTTTTAAACACAAATCGAATAAAAATAGCAACGTTATAAAACATTATCGGCAAATATGATACGATTCAAAATTATGTCAACATATTCATAAACTTTGTCGAGATCTTTTAAAAAACATCAACATAATAACTCGAAATTTTATATGTAAGTTAATAGCAGAATCAAATCATTACTACTTTCACACCTTTTTAAAAATAATAGCCCCAGATGTTTTTATTTCATCACTTTAAAATTCTTATCATGTTATTATAAAGACACTTGTTAATTACATTGTAAAAAGTAAATAATTCACATTTAGATTTAGAAAGATCTGGATATCAGTCTAGTTTGCTCTGTGTAAACTAATGCAAAGTACAAACAATTTCAAGTACGACCAGTGTTGTAAAAGAAATGAGATTTTTTTCATTTATCAAATGGTTGATAGCCATACAATGCACAACCCTCCTATATTAAATAAAAAACACGAATGAGAAAAATCTTTGGTTTACAATGGCTTCAAAAAATTATAGTTGGTTTCTTTTTATATTTGTATTTACTTAATGTGTGAATGGTCCGATCTTTTCCCTTTAAAATAATCGGCATCATGAATTTGAATAAGTACGTCATGTATGTCAGTACCTTTGAACAAATGAAATCAGGGCTATTGAATAAATGTCATATTTTGAACGAAAAAGCTCAAAGATTTATATAATAAATTGTATTTGCAATATGTAAATATACGTGTAAAATGTAACGAACTGTCCATTTAAGTCATTGCAGGCAAACCACTGGAACATTCCTCTGATCTAGATGTTATCCCTTCGCTTTTATTTATATACATGTATCATTATAGCTTGACTGGACCAGTTTACAATCCGTGTCGTGCATCTCAGACATGTGTACAGTCACCTCCTCTCGTTTTATTTTTACTCTCCTGCTACAAATCATGTTGTTCATTTTCTTTATGTTTATTTCATCTTGGAATTTTTTAATTAAAGAATGAAATTGCGTCATCTACTTCTTTTGCACGTATATTCCATGGCTATTTTCCTGAGAGAACAGTTCAATTTTGCTATTGCGCTTTCAGACTTTTAGTTAAGAAACAAAAGAAACATTTTTTCTTATATTTTTTTTACTATTAATACTGAACCAACTTAAAAAAGGGCTCATGGAATGTTCTTTATCATATAGCCTTTTTTCAAAAATGATATGTAAAAGTCCTAGAAAGACCTAGAAATCTATTCTCTGATGTTGGTTTCTATGCTAGGGTGTGAATATAGAAACTCACGTATTTACTGCTGCACTGCCGGGGGATCCAAGTGAACCGTAGGCCATTATCACTATGTCATGTTTCTTCATGGCAGTTTCTATTTTATTCTGTTGGAAGTAGGCGCGGCACTCAACCTGTAAAAAAAGTGATGTAAATACCAGATTGATACATCAGGAAACTTGCATACATGTATTTATCTTTCTCGTTTAATGAAGCTTTCAGAGTGTTCTCATAAAGCGATTCATATTAATTATAAGTTGAATGGTGTCGGGCAGATCCGATTAATTCCGTTTTAATTCATCTTTGGATCTATTAACATGCCAATTATGGCGCAGGACATTTTTGATGATTTTATTCCAAAGCGCCCGGGGATGTATATGTTTCACAACGACCCAGTTACGGTTAAACTCAATAATAGTAAACCGATTTGAATCTAATTAAACAAACTTTGATCTCAAAATTATTATTCTCAGATTTGTCCGAATAATAACAAAAACAGAAAAATAGAATATTATATCTAAAAAGAGGTTATGTAGAACATAAGCAATAAAATGCAATATACTGAATATACCGAATGTCGCTTTAAACATATTTACGTTTATGCTCTATAAACAGGTCGCTGAATAGATATTTTATTTGCGACCTTTATCCTACCCGATTCACCACTGGTTTAACACATCAGAGCATTGTCCTACCAGATTCACCACTTGTTTATCACGCGTTATTATTTGTTTACCCGTTTCACCAATTGTTTAACGCGTAAGAGTTCTTAATCCTACCTGATTCACAACTGGTTTATCACGTAAGAGTACATTTTCTTACCTGATTCACCAATGGTTTAACACGTGCCACCTTCATGATTCGTTCCACTTGTGCAACATTGAATTTTGATATGCCAATGCTCTTTGCATTTCCTTCGTCAACAATACGATACGAATACGAATAATGAGAAATGTAAAGTATTTGTCAAGGATACATGTACCCTGCCTAAAATTGACGCTATATACAAGAAACTAGTATCCGGCAATTATGTTGTTTGATTCCTTGAGAGACGTAAGAGAACAAATATTTAGTACAAAATATACAAGATATAGTCAAAAATAGTGTTTTGAGTAAAAAACAATCAAATAAACAAACAGGGATTTAAATTATTGAGATCAAATGTTTATACCGTCACTCTAGCCACCTGAACTACCTTTTGCACAATTACGCCAAAGCTGTATCGTGGTGCTCATGTATATACGAACAACCACAGTAGAATATCTAGTATTTTGCCTGCAGTGGGACAGGGATCCCTTATACTGTGTTATACCATATGTCTGGACAATCTCGAAAAAGAGAATAAAACACTGTCCACTGAAAGTCACAGACTGAACCAATGAAAATATGGCCAATACAAGAGTTATGTATAAAACTAACAGACAGCTTAAATATAATTCACCTTCCAGACGCATTCAAAGTCAACTCCGCCATCATGGTCAAGCTGGCCATCTTTCATGGGTAAGATATTGTTGGGGTCGGCCTATTTCTAAACGAATTAATTAAGTATCTATTTAAGGGACATCACGGTGAAGTGTTTATATTTTTTGTCTTTTCCCCCTCAAATACTACATAAACATATCAAGTGAGGATCCTTATGGAAAATAACGATCGGATTTGGCTGATAGAAATTCATAAAAATGAATAATTTTAAGATGATCATCGGGATTTCTACCTGTCTGACCAACGTTTTGTTCAAGGATTTCCCTCTACTAACGTATGCGCGTGGCACACCATTTATTTGTAAACAAAATGACTAGCCGTGTGAAAAAATCGGTATAGGTGTCAGCTACGAAGCAAAGTATTGCCAAATGGTCAAAAGATAGCACAAGGAGTACATTACGGAATCATTATTGCAGTTGGGAAGTATTCAAAGGAGAAAATAACTGCCCTAGTTCTACTACATAAACATCAAGTGAGTCTCCTTATGAAAAACAACGGTCGGATTTGGCTTATATGTAATAGAACGAGGAAAAGTGACGAAGATAGTGCCGTTGCTGGGGCTCGAACCAGCGATCATAGCCTCTCCAGCCCTATTCCCTACAGCTGACGCTTGTGAGGCAACCTAACAATGCACATCTTTTACACTATTCGCCCCTTTTTCTAACACCAACTCCGGTTCTTTTACTCCCCACCAAGGATTCTCCTACCTTGAACGGGGAGAGCCAACGGTACCCGTTTGTAATAGGACGAGTCGGGGCTCCGGGCAATTCACGCACTTAATCTGTATTTAGTGTGTCCCCGAGTCCCGCATCGCCCTATGTTGTCAACCCAGGTTCGGTATGTCACAACGTACGAAATCTGTCGGCTAAAGAATAGATAATAAGATCCAAATAAACTGTAAACAATATTTATTAACGTGAGGATGCAATATTTACAGATGAGAAGCCCTTTCACTCACACTTACATACTACATACACACATGAACTCGGCCCTGGGTCTAGGTCCTACATAAGCTTGGAATTTCCCTAGCCATGCATATATGTGATTTTTGGAGATATTTTTTTTGTTCTATCATTACATTTGGCATGCATTTACAAATATTATTGTGAAATTTACTACAAAAATAAAAAAAAGTTCTTTCATTTTTAGTTCCCCTATCCCTAATCCACGGCAGTGCTGTATTCTGCATCTAAGATTTCAGAGAGGTCTCATAGATAAATGACTTTTGGGCGAGTAATTATCAAATAATATATCAACAACATATATCAAATTAAAGCTTATTTAGTACTCTTTCACACTTTACATGCATTTTATCAAATGTCTAAAGAAGTAAAGTTTAATGGACTTTTAATTATGAAATTTCAAAAATTACAATTTTCATGTAAAAACTTTTGTATATGACATCACAGCCTGTCTAACTTTAAACCATTGTATAGTGAGACTTCCCCCCTACAAAATAAATGTTATTGTAACGTTATAGCCCAATTAATTATTTAGTAAATACATGTCAAACATAGCAATATAAGCAAGCGCCAACTCTCAAGGGGCCAATACCAGTGTGACATAGGGATGAGATATCCTGTCCCTGTGGGCTTGTGATCCTTATTAAGTGGTGTAAATATTAAGAACATATGTGTGTATAGTCAATTTATCTAAAAATAGGTGTTATGGAGTATTGCAGTTATTAAGATAGGGATATTTGACCTGAAAGGACCATGAAGGGGAGGTATAGGAGAAGGAAAAATGTATTCACAAAGTGTAATACACCACATAATGAGGGTACCAAGACTACAGGGCATGGGGTGAGTAAAGTTCCAAGTGGAAATGTCTCAGGTACCTGGAAGAGACTGAGTTCTGATATGTATTCCTTAGTCACTGTAACGCGTCCTGGTTGTAGCTTTCCTAGCACTCCTGACACTGAGGGTAACCCTGGCATTGTCAAGCTCCTTAGGCCCAAGAAATCACAACCAGTGGTAGAAGTTGCATCACACCTTCATGAAAATAGGGGAAAAAGGTCTAGGTTAGATACAGATGTTCAAAATCAGGGTAACAGACTAATAGATACTGAGAAAATAAGTGATCTTATGCCAATTGTCTCGTCACACACGTGTGACAATCCAGATGTTGACATTCACAAAGAGGTCAAAGTAGGAGTAACATGTAAATTTAAAGTAACGTGCAAAACATGTGGTTGGGTGTCTAACAATAAAAAAATGTACAAAGAGATTCGATCCCCTAAAAGGGGTCCAAATCCTGCTGGCCCAAATCTGACAATGTATGCCGACCTCCAAGAAACACCTATGGGGCCAGCAGGGGCACGGCGTTTGTTCAATGCTATGAATTTGGTTCCCCCGTGCCGTAGCGGTATGCAGAGACATGCTAATATTGCAGCAGAAACAATCATAACATTAAATAAGGAGGATATGGCAAATAAAGCACAGGAAGTAAGAGAAATAAATGAGTCGAGGGGAGCTGCAGACCCTAACATGGTTAATGTTCAAGTTGATGGCAGGTACAATAGGTCAACAGTAACCTGTTGTAATAAACCTGGTACAAGTGCTACACAGTTAGCACTTATAACTCGCGAGGATGTCACTGACAAAAATTACAGTATAGGGATAGCTGTCCAATCACAAATATGCTGGAAAGGTAAATGGTTACGCAGAAAAGGGTTTGATGCAAAATGTCCTGGTGGCCATATAGACTGTAATGCCACAATAGGGGTGGGGACACCGTTATCAGAATTTGAGGCTGCTAAGCTAGTAGGTGAGCAGCTATACCAGCAGCAAGATCTTATTGTACGATACGCTACATCAGATGGGGACGCGCGATCAGTAGCAGGTCTTGACGCAGCTTATAAAGCATTTATATCCATGTGGGATGTGAAACGACTAGCATATCCAATCAACCCATTTAGGTCAAGCACACTTTAGAAAATGTATGCGTGTACATTTTAGCTCAGACATGTTCCCAGGTATGAAAACAAGAGAAGAAAAGATAGAAGCGCAAAAGGTGCTTAGCCGTGATATAAAAGCTCGGTGTAGCCTAGTCTGTAAAGAGCTCACAAAGGATTGTAGCGGAGAGACAAAAACCATGCGCGAAAAACTCCCCCTTGTCTTAGATGCCACCCTTCGATGTTACAGCGGGGATTGTTCTAGATGTAAAAGATGCTCATTTGTATGCAATGGTGGTACTAGTACTGGTACTTGGTGGAACAGGTCCATATTCCTGTCTAAATACAAGCTTTGCAGCTTGAATATGAATGAAATGACAAACTTTGATATTTTGAGATAAAACAGTCTGAGAATGAAAAACAGTTTTGCAACAGAACCATTTTCGTGTTCACTGCATACTAACGCAAATTCCACTTTCTATATATCAAAAAATATCTTGACAATGGTATCACTCGTATTAACTATGTGTGATAATGTCTTATATGGTAACTATTAATAGTTCTAAGATATGTAATGATACATACTCGTGTATCCTTATTTTATAGTTTGAGAAATATCAGTTTTGGAGATAATTTGCTTAGAGATATACGAATTGTCAGGAGAAACAACTTTTACTACTGCAAGGGTAATAAATATAAAAATAAGATGAAGGTAACATACACACAAACTCACATGTAATTGCATCATTAAAATTACGCAAGTGATAAAGTATGCAAAAAATATATATTCCTACATCAAACAGGTGTTTCATCCTTATACGACTAATTCGCGATCCTAGCGGCAAACTCTACTGGTTAACACTAGCAGAGTCTACCACATTGTACATAAAAAGATGAACATAAAAGGAGGACATGGACATGTGATTTTACCTAATAATAGATCAAGTATGTCGTATGAATTACACTGCATCAATAATAATAATATACACTTTTGATTTTAGTCGTTTAATTTCAATCTTTCCCCCGAAGATATGGTCACTATCGCAGGCACTGACAAGGGCTTCCGAATGTACAAGCACGTCACGTAAGTAATCACTGAAATGGAAAGCACATACACTTAATCAATCAAATTCAATCGCCATTGCATACACCAGGATGTCTACAGCCAGAACTATTCGTTTACAATCATGGAACAAGTTGATGTCAAAGTGACAACCATACCTTTCCAGCTACAAAACAAGTTTTTAACTGCAGTCAGCTGGATGACCTTTTTTCAGGTGCTGAGATTCGATGAATTGCTGTTTACTTTCCTTTTCCATTGATACCTATTGCAAAACCTATTGAATGTGTGTTGCAACATCGCAGGAGTGTATATAGACAGCGACCTTAAACCGACTTCACGTGCCTTTAAACGTATCAATGTGTGAGACAATTACATACAATGTATATTCTTTTAAATGTATGCTTTGTTTTTCTCTTATAG